ATAATCCCACTTCTGACACCAACTGTTACGATTATCCTTGAAACCTCGAGGGATTTCCCAAATTATCTTCGGTTCGTATCTCTGGATTATTAAATAAATGCTAACGATGACCAAGTTGTAGTACAATTAACTTTATTGTACAACAAACAATTTACAATTCTCGCTAATACACTAAAACGCTGCACAATACTTGTTAAAGCAATAATAACACTTTACTAAACTTGTTAACACAATTAAACTCATTGCTTGCTTATTCGCAACTCACTTCCCTGCTCACTTTACTTGTAGCTTGCTGACTTGTAATTAACTCACTTCGCTATGGCGGCGCCCTTATATACCTGCGCTCGCACTTATGGCAACTCTAGAACGTTCTGAAGTTTATCGCTCATTCTCTATCTCTCGCTGTTCGCAGTGTTCATCCAACTTGACTTTTCTCTTTGTGGAACATTCTACGTCATTCCTCGAACATTCTGCCTATTTCTCGTTGTTCGCTTCGCCACAATACAACCTATAATCTTCGATAAGATTACGCGTGTAACATCATATAATTCTATCTGCGAATTTAATTAATACTTCGTTCAGGGTAAATACCTTTAACAATGAAATTGTATATTCTTTTGGCAGAAGCTGTAACAGAGTTCGAATCTCATTACAAAGGCATACCCGCAGCAGAACAAAACAAACATGGTCTTGCTATTCAGCTAGACGAATTAAAAGCTTTGTGGGGAAAAACCAAGTCAGCTTACGATAAGCTTATCAATGAGGGATTATCTAATGATGATGCAGAGGCCATAAAAAAGAAGAATAAGATTTCCTTTCAAAGCTATGTCAGGTGCATGTCTGCTATTGTTTCTCAGGTTGAAATACTAACCAAAGCGAACAAAGATGTAGAGGATCAGTCCGTCCGGGAACACAATATCCACCTGCCACCGTGCGATACAGATGTGTTCAAGGGCGACTATTTTTCATGGCCATCTTTCCGAGATATGTTCACGACCATCTACATCTTGAACAAGCGCCCCACCCGAGTTGAGAAACTAGTTCACCTCAATAATAAAACCCAAGGGGAGGCAACAGACATAGTGCGAAAGTGCCCACTTACCCATGAAGGCTTTTCGACAGCCTGGAAAAACCTATGTGAGCGATACGAAAACAAACGTATCTTAGTTAACACACAATTAAAAGTTTTATTTAGCTTAAAGACAGTGGGATCTGAGAGTGTAGAGTAGCTCAATTAAAAACCTACGGAGCGCGATTAATAATTGTTTATCGTCCCTAGAAAGTCATCAAATTAACATCTCTAACTGGGACACAATTATTATATATTTGTGTTCAACGAAGCTTCCATAAAGTACACTGGCTCTATGGGAACAGACCATGGACCAGAAAACGGACATTCCAAAGTGGTAGGATATGGACAGGTTCCTATCCAATAGATTCCAAACTTTGGAAACTCTAGCGGAACTAAAGGGTATAACAGCGGCGAAAGCTCCAAGGCACCGGCGCGCACGGCACCACCAGGAGTCTAACACTAAAATGCCACGAGCCTTTCAGGCAAGCGTAAACAAGTTCACCTGCCTAATATGCCAAACTAATGAGCACAAGTTACGCAGCTGTTCACAATTCCGCACCAAAACACCAGCTGATAGAATCGATTTTTTGGAAAGCAAAAAATGGTTCCTGAATTGTCTTAGTACTGTACATTAGGATGGGTCGATTTTGTATGGGGGAAAATAAAAGTTATTTGACCGTATTGTAATAGTAATATTATGATGCCTTAGGTATAAGCCAATTGTTAATGGCCAAGAAAAATTTATTTAAAACTTATCTTTAGCCCGCGCAAACGAATCAAAGTGTATGAATTTTGAAAATAAAACTTTGGCTTGTAATATCTATGGAATGCGTTATTGTTATAAACTGGGAGATATACCAAATTAAGGGTTATTAAATTTGGTACCTCACGTTCATTTACCATTTTTCAATAAGTCTAATAGTTTTTAAGATATTAAGATAAAACTTACAAAAGCTATAATTTTCCCTTAT